ACGCTGGCTCTATCCCAGGTTCCCTATCAGGTCTCAGGGAGGGCTTCTGGTAGACAGATGGCCTGCTACTCGCAGTAGGCCCTGGCTGGGGGCAGCGAGGTCCAGGAGAAATGCAGCGTGAGCCATGAAGGCCAGGCTAAGCCGCCCTTGTGGCAGTGCTCGCGGTTCAGGCCATGCCTTGGGAAAATGCCACAGTCTAACATAAGATTTTATAAAAGGATCTGCTTGGAGAAAATGGGAATGGATAACCCTTTGAACACTGAATGAAGCGGCCTCCAGACTTCTTTTTTTTATATGTTAATGAATCGTGTCTATGTAAATACTTAGTGTGAAACCATTTAACATGCTGGCTCCAGCCTTCTGCTGTTGTTGAATATGTACCTGCTCATTAGCCTCGGACTGGCATTACCCCCACACACTCTGCAAACACTGTTCCCGTTGTCAGTGATTCCGAAGGAATGCTAAGGCATGTGGCAGAAGATTAAATTGAAAACTGCTTGAGTCACTTTTACTGTAATTTGAGAAAGAAGCATCTTTGTAAAATGAAACTAGTTTTTGGACAACCTTTTTTTTAAAATTAGAAAAAACTACAGTCATCCCCTCTTCTCTATAGGAGATGTCTTACAAGACCCCGCAGTGCATGCCTATATATATATATATATATATATATATATATATATATATATATATAGTATGTTTCCTCCTATACATACATACGTATGACAGGGTTTAATTTAGAAATTAAACACAAAGAAATTAATAACAATAACCAATATGTAATACAAAAATTATAACAGAATTGCCAGCATCACTGATCTTTACTTGGGGGCCAATGTTAAGTAAAATAAAGGTTTATTGGACACATGCAAGAATTGCCATACCCTGACGATCAATCTGATAACTGAGATGGCTACAGAGTGACTAAAGGCTTGTAGGGTATACAGTGTGGATTCACTGGACACACAGATGATTAGCATCCTGGGTGAGGCAAGTCAAGACTTCATTATGTGCAATTTGAAACTTATGAATGATTTCCATAATTTTCCCCTTAATATTTTCAACTCCTGGTTGATCAGGGTATAACTAAAACTGCAGAAAGCAAAACTGTACATAAGGGAGACCCCTATAAGGATAAATTTCTAGTAAAAGTTCACTGTTAGTCAGCCATGTTTGCTTCTCTCGGGTAAGTCAGGCATGAACCTTTCTTTGAGCAGATCCACCGTTAGGGGTATGAAGTCAATGTAACTCTTAAGAGGAAAGTTAAGTAACTTGTTTTGGCTATGTGTATTATGGGGGAAATGTTCATATTTGGGTGTTATCTATTACATTTACAATTGTAAAGTAAGTTAAAGTGGAGATCTGATTTGAGGAACCCTTGGAAAGACAAAGCCAGCCAGACCACCCTGAGTGACCTCAGCCCTGCTGGATTTGCAAACGTAAGTGACACTTAACGTGAGCTTTTTCTTGTGAATGCCCATGTCAAGCAAGAATGGAATTAAGCCCAGCCACTCAGAAGCAGCCAGCCAGTGCACGCCGGTGGCCGAGCAGGTGCGTCCTTTGCTCTCCATCCGCCAGTCCTATGAACACCTTTACCTTGGTGCCCTCTGCGGGGCTCTCGATCCACTTCTGGTTGGGTGCTGCCCAATTTGTGGACTGTTTCCTCAAGCTCCTTAAATTTCTACTGTGCCTCCGTTTACTTTTAGTATGAATTTTTGTAGATTCTAACTTTTAGAAAGGTTGATCAAATCTCATAATTTGATTGGCATTTCCCTAACGACTTAAAGCATCTTGGCACAGACTTATTTGCCATTTGTACCTTTCTTTGGTGAAGTATCTGTTCAGATTTTCTGTCATTTTAAAGAATTGTTCTCATATTTTTTATCATTGAATTTTTGCGAGTACTTTGCATGTTGTGGATGCAAAACTCTCATCAGATAATTTATAAACATAAATTCCAATGCTGAGTAGTACTCCAGTGCATGATGTCCCATGGTTTGTGACAATTTGCCACTCATCCATTGATGCTCAATCTCTCTGAATTTATAACGTTTTTTAAAAAACATCCCTTTTGTTCTTGAGGTGATGTTTTTACCTAGAGGCATTCATTTTTCTTTCTTGAGGTCAACTTTGGAAGTATCCAGTGATTCTTGGTCACAATTCACCAGAAAAGGTGAGCAGGGGACCACGTGACCCCAGGCTTCCCTGAAGTGTGAGGCAGAAGGTAACCAGACATTATGGAGCATGATCCTTGAAGACCAGCGTAGAGACTATTTCTCCCTGGGATGCCAACCTCTAGTTCTTGCTGGAAAGACCTGCTGGCCTCTGCCCTCCTTGCTCTCTCCTGGGAATGAGGTTATAGCTAATTTCTGGGCTTCATATGTGTTCAACCCCAGAGATGCAAAGGCCCCAGCATACTGTTTTCCAACCCCTAGGAAAGAAGTGAGAGCACTCAGTGGAGAGGGTTTGGATGTTCCCTTACTCATCTGCTCCTGGCGGGCAGCAGGCGGAATCAATGGAGGGCCACCCTGAGCCTCCACGCAGGGAGGATATATGGGCTGGGGTACCTGCCCACTACGCAGGTGGAGTTTTCCAGATGTTTGATGAGTACATTCCTTTACCACCAAGTCCACTCTGCTGTTATTGAGTCACCTTAACAATCCTCACCTGAAGGCTGGAGACAAAGGCAGTGGCCAGCTCCCCTCTCCACTTCCTTTCTTCCTGCAAGAAAGAAACCTTTAGGGGTCTGGACCAAGCAGCTTTCCCAGGCACTGGCTAGTGTTCACCCCAACGATGTGTTCTTTGTGGGAAGCAGGAACTGACACCCGACTGGCCTTTGTTCTGAGATGCCATCTCCCTCCCGTCCCTGTCAGCCCAGGTAGGACCTCCCTGGTCCTCTGCCCAGCTCTGTCACTCCCCAGCCCATGTGTGCTGAGGCTCCATGGCAGGGGGCACTCTCTTTCTCCTTAAGGACTGTCTCCCTGCTCTTTAATTCTTCTTATTTTTTTAAATGATTAAATCAGGAACATATCATTGGCATTTTTAATATGTATTTTTCTAGTTGTTGATAGACCTTTATTTTATTTATCCATTTATTTATATGTGGTGCCGAGAATTGAACCCCGTGCCTCACACATGCCAGGCAAGTGCTCTACCACTAAGCCACAACCCCTCTTTAATTCTTTTGTAGTGATTTTAACAGGGGTCAGATGAGGAGAGGGGAGTAAGAGCATATACTGAGTTCATCATATTGAACTGGAAGCTCTCAAGGGTACCTCTAAAAATATAAGAGCCAGTACTATGAGGTTTGTTTTTTTTAAAGGAAGTCTCCTTTCCAAATAATTATTAGATGGTAAACAAAAGGAGTTCCAAACAATAATTAAAAAAAAAAAAAACAGAAAACAAGATAAAAGAATAGTGATTAGCCGAAGAATTTGAGCTAACTTATTAAATTGCAAAGCCCATCTATTATTTTATTAGAGACAACGAAAACAAATGACATTTAAAAACTTCCAAGACAAGCAAGGAAATATCAGATGAATACCAGCTGAATTTGTCTATCAAAAAAAGAAATATGGCAATATTTTTATCAATGTAGAATTCAAGCCACGATACATTGAACAGGAAGATGATTTTGAGTTGATAACAGTTATAGTGTATCAGGTAGGAAGTTCTGCAAAGCAACAGCTTCAAATCATAAAACAGAAAGCATTAGAAATGCAAGGAAAATCAGATGTGGAGGAAAAATAAGACTGTAGAGAATTTTAAAAAATATGTCTGTATTAATAAACAAGAACAAACAGTACACACTTAAGTGGGTTGTGTCATTGTTATAAAATGTGACTACTGTTTTGTTTTGTTTTTTTAATAGTAAATGCTTTATTTTTACTATCCTCACCCTCTCACCTAAATTATGCCATGGCATAGATAAGTCACAGTCAGGGCTAATTCCTAATTTGGCAAAAGAGTATAATTAATATGAATAGTCTTAATACAAATAAAATTAGCATTTATTAGGATCTTATGGTATGTTAGGCATTAGTCTAAAGACATTAAACATTAAAACTGTTCAGAGGTTTTAATTTTTTCATTACATAAAAAAATTGACATCGGAGAAGTGAATTCTCCTAGATCACCAATTTAGTAGTTAGTTGAGCCCACATTTGAAAATAGGTTCAATAAAATGTGACTATTCTTTAAGGAATAAAGGAAAACTCAAAACCCACAAAGAAGAATACTTACAGAAAATAATCTCTACTCCATTTGCACATGAGAAAACGAAGAACAAAAAAAACCTAAATAAAATCCCCCAGATGGGTAAAAGGTTAAAAAAAAATCATTCTAAAGTTATTATCCTGAGAAAACTTGTGGCTCAAAGAAAATTTAACAAGTAAAACTGGACATTACTTAGGGTAAGAACTATAAGCACATTATTGAACTTTAGGAAATACAGTATTACTTATAAGAAATACACAGTCTTAAAACAAAACAAAAAAAAAATGTGATTCCTAAGAAAAACAAACACAAACCTCAAAACCAGAACAAATGCAGTACCTCTTCAGAGCAGTTCTGGGTGGAACAGAAGCACCCATCCCAAATTAGGACCGTGATGAAGAGAAAGCAGAAACTGAAAAAAATAAGACACGCAGAGGCAATTGCCATAATATGGTTAGCTTAGACTAAAAGAAGAGGGCAACTCTGAAAATCGAATGAGAAAATAATCCACTAGATTAGACAACAAAATGGACATGTTCCAGTTTTCCATTGCCTTTGGAACTGTTGTGAAGCCCTCATCCACATTTCTGGTCTGCATGGAGGGCGTCTGAAAATCTTGAAAGAAATAAGCATTTTTTTATTTAAAAAAAAAAAGAAGAGGCAAAGAGGGCTGAGGATATAGCTCAGTTGGTAAAGAGCTTGCCTTGCATGCACAAGGCCCTGGGTTGGGTCCCCAGCACCACACACACACACACACACACACACACAAAGGGCAAAGACACCAATGGTTAAAGTAGAAACAAGACTTTATAATCATCCTAAAATAAGAGTGCTCAAAACAGTAATCTCAAAAAAGCCACTCCTGGTGAAATCACATAAGAATCTTGACAATCCATCTAATATTCAATATTGTTCTCCAAGTTTTCATTAGCAGAAGCAAATGACAGTGAAACTAACAGTTTCATATGTTGCAAAACATGATTAATATATCTGTGAACGATTATGACGGCAACACTGGAAATCCTGAGAAATAGAAAAATGAAAGGAAAAATGGACTATATAATTTCAGTAGCATAGCTAACAAATATATTAGTTTTAGTTTATCCTAAAAAATATACCACTGATCAATTCTCATTCACAGGAAACAAAATCAAATGTGCAAAAATAAAACCTTAACAAAAATGCACCAGGACGTGCTTTTGTTGAATGATGCCGTTCCACAGTTTACTGAGGGGGAAGGCCCACCTGGCACTAGGAAACAGAGCCGGCAGATTTCAGGGCTGAAACTAACGCGATCCTTCAGACTAACAACCAAGTCTAACACACACAACTGGACTTTTAGCTGTCACTTTACTCATCTCCTTAATGATGCAAGCTACAATTTCAGGAAAAAGCGGGCAGTGACATGTAAGAAGGACAGGATTTCTTCCTGAGTTAATCATTCACCTACTGGGTCTGGGAAGGGGGCGGCAGCATCCAACCCGTGGCTAACCTAGACTTTTGTACCCACAAGTCATTCAATAAAAAGGAGACATCCCTGGTGCCTACCTGTCAACCCAACCACTCAGAAGGCCAAGAAAGGAGGACTGCAAGTTCCAGGCCAGCCTGGGTGCCTTCGCAAGCTCCCTTCTCCAAGTAAAAAGCAGAAAGGGCTGGGCACGTAGCTCAGCGGTAGATCACCTCTGGGTTCCATCCCCGGTACCCAGGGGGCAGAAAAGCACCAACCGAGTAAACCTAACAGTGAGCACCTCTGGTTCTGAGTCAAGCACCTTCGCCCATCAGGTGCACCTCCCGGAACACACCCGCTCGGATCAATGAAGACTAGCTCACATTCCAGTGTTCCTGAGGATATCCAGAATATTTATTGCTTTAGGGTTTCACGCAATTATTTGGACAGAAAAAGGGCAGAAGTTTATCTAACAACAAAATTCCCCTGCAAAAACAATGCTTTTTGTTAAAGTGAAACAGCCACAGCATGAAGTTTTCTGTCGACTCTAGAACCACGAGAGACTACCACCCACCGCGCAGAGGAAGCGCTGTCTGTGGGGATGCCGAGAAGGGCGCGCCCGGCGCTGAAGGCCAGCTGAGCCGACCAGGACCAGCCACGGGGCGAAACAGCCTCTTCAGCACCACATCCTCCAGCTGCCGCTGGCCTCTGCATCAGTGAGGCTGAAGCATCCAGCGGGAGGGACCTTGCGGCTGTGTTCATGGATTCTCACAAAGTCGCGGAGGGATTCAGGGTCCTCCGAGATGGAGCTTTTGCTTCAAAATCTGTACTTAGGCAGTTGACACCTCTAACTCCTGTCATTTGTCTCCATGTATCCTTGGGCGCATCAGAATTAAACTGTTTCAAGATTCTGTTGTGTTATATTAAGAGATAAAGAAAAAAAGGGCCTTAGAAAATTCCAGTTCTTTCCAGACTAAAGGAAGAAAAGAGCCATGGAGCACGCTGGAGGCACCTGGGCAGTGTGCAAGGCTGCCCGAGGCTGAGTGGCTGCCCCCGGCACACCTTTGCCTCCATTTGCTCTTGTGGAGCAGCCCCTGCACCGCCCTGCGCTGCTGAAGCTGGACTGGAACAAGCGCCAGATGCCAGGGCGCAGCCTTAGTGGCCTCGCTCCCCGCTGTCCCCACGGGCAGTGACTGTGCAGCTGGAACCCGGGCCTCTCAGGTCTAAGTGTGCAGACAGCATTTCCCCTTGGAGGGGGCTGGGGAGGGTCGGTCCACACTGCCCCTGACCTTGAACCGATCAACACAGGGAGGTGCAGAAGGGACAGTGAAACCTGCTGCCCCTGAGAAGCCATCGAAGACAGCTGCACGTTCTGGTCTTACACACATTAAGCCCAAAGAGGGAAAGCGGTGACTGAGCAGTTATCAGCATTAGTTCAGAAGTCCTGAGGTGGAGCGCAGCCCGATCCTTCAACTTGGATTTCAGTTTGATTAGCTTATAATTAGGCAGATCACAAGGGTATGAGGAAAAATCCAGCGTATCATAAAAACAACAAAAAAGCAGGGAAATTAAGGAGATGCTCATTTATAAGGTCCCCAGAAAAACACCACTGAGAACTTCCAGTTGAAGATGATTTCATTGATAACATATTCAAAGCAAAAATGGGATTATAATTTTTCTGAACTTTGGATAATCTTCAAACTTCTCCAGATACCACCTAAAATAAGAAAAAGAACATCATTTGGTCCCTTAAACGTTTCACAACTAGTAAAAGCGATATCTTTCATTATTAAGAAATACTGAGACTTAAAAAATCATAATAAGGACCTTGGCATTTCAAATACAGATTAGTTTCATCAGTATCATGAAGTCAGACATATCTGAAGTGTGGTCCAGAGGTGACTTGTGCAATAATCTTTTCACTGGGAAGGAACTGACCAGCATACCGGTACTGCACGGACTTGGGGCAGTGGGGCAGATGCTCGGTTGTCCCTTCAGGTGACCTTGACACCAGGTCTGAAGAGAGGGCAGCCAGCCAGTGCCAGGTCCTTGGGCAGCTCTTAGGAAGGACTCAGGATAAATTGGGAAAAGGGAATTGGTGTGGTCTGTAACTAACCCTGTGCTCAAAACAAACAATATTTCCGCCCAAGCCCACCTCTTGACTTCTGACAGCTGGACTGCCCCCGGTGTCCCCAGTCCCCACTGCAGTTTCACTCACAATGGGCAGATTTTAGTGTCACAATGGCAGGCTAAAGATCCAAGACTACTCTGGGGCACCTTGGCCCTGCTGATGGGTTCTAACTGGAACTTGCTTCATAGATTTTTGTGGCTGAGGGGCTGTGCTTGAGTCCTGGAATCTGGTCTGTGTAAAGGTCACAAAAGTCCCCCTCCAGGGTAACTTCGCTCTTCTCATCATCAGCGAGGAGTCTCTAGGGCCCTTGTGTCTCCCGCATAGCAGGCTATTTGCTGAGGAATGTGGCTTATCCCACTGGAGCCAGGCAGGGCCAGAGGGGTCTCAAGCAAGTTCCCCTCAAAATCAGCAAGTGGGGTCAGCTCAGTAGGCCTGGGCCAAAGAACCACCCCCAACCTCACATTCCCCCACACAGGTCTCTCTGCCACCTATTAATGGGAAGCATTTAGCTTTTTGTTAATGTGGCAGAAACACATGAAGACAATGGCCTGAAAGTGACCCAGCAGAATCCTGCCAGTTTACACAAATTGAACTCTGTAACCCACGAAGATAGACCTCAACATGTCCGACTGCCACATTTACTTTCCCATGCTGGTCCATGTATCCAAAAGGTACAAGATAAGAACAATTCTGAGACGTTGGTCAGTCCCCAATAGAACAAGTGTCACCTCCTTGGCAGGAGGCCCAGTGACAACAGCCTTTCCAGCTGTATAGGTCAGGGATGACCTTGATGATGATCCTGGATGACGAGGTGTCCGCTTTTCAATGAGGCCGTGAATAACAAAGTGGCAAATATGAGGAAGCACATCCTGGACAATGCACCTGTCATTGACTGAAGGCCCCCACAGGTCTGCAGGGGTCCGGCCATTCACCATGTTCCTAAGAGCCGCCCCATGAGATGCCTGCACAGGGCACTCCCAGAAAAGACCGTGAGCTCCTCTCTCCTAGGGGTTGAGTGCGGAAGGTGACACAGTGGCCCTCAAAGGGCAAAGGCAGGGCAAACAGGACAGCATGCGTTAGTGGGCAAACAGGACAGCATGTGTTAGCAGCACGTCACCAAGTCACCAACGCCAGCATCCCTGCCCCCAGCTGAAGCTGTGAAGACTCCTTCCCCCGTGCTGCCGCAGGCCAGGCTCCTCCAGAGGCCAAAGGGGCCCTGAGAGGTCACAGTGGCTTTGCTGCCAGACAGCTGGGATGCACTTCACAGAAACCACCAAACAGGAGTAAGACAGGCTTTGTTAGGTGAGGTCACATGTTAAGGCTTATAAAATGTGACCATGTAGAGATTTTTTAAAAGTGGCAAACAGCATGACTTCTTTTTCTTTGCCTAGCATTAGCTGGTGACTTATAGGACCCTGAACAGGGCTGACTTTGACATCTGCCTTGAATTCATTACTTTTCAGTCTGAACTAATGTTCCATGGCCTTTGCATTGAAACCCAAATAGGCCACCTAACCAAGGGATGCCCACCCGCTACATTATTTATTTTTTGTGGGGCTGGGGACTGCTCATTACTTTTGGATTATGCTAAACCTGAGATCATTCTTCAAATTATTCTTGAGAGCAGTTCTTGTTTTCATGACTCCCAGTTCAGTGCTCCCAATTACTCTCCCATGTCTTCCTGGGTGGGCTTAGCTCTGAGGTCACTGAGTGATTAGCAAATGTTTTTCAGGCTTCACAAACCATGCTTCCTGCATTTGAGTCTGATGAACGGAGGCTGTGGGATTAGGTGAGCCTTTTGTAAATATGTGGTTGTCTGCCCTTGTTTTTTCTAAAGCATTACCCCATCATCCATAGTGTCTCAAAGATGTACTGAATTAGTTTTTTAAAGTGACATTAAAAATAACACATAGATTAGCATTTTTTTTTTTTTAACTTCAGTAGGGTTATTCCTGGCTGGCCTCAAGTTCAAGCAAATGACATGCCTGTACCAAGCCCACCATGTCACAGAAAGCTGCAGATGGTGACCATCTGCACAGTCCTCTGCTAAGCATAGCTGCTCCAGGCTGGGGAAAGAGATAACCACTTCCTTAGAATTCCCTTAAGTTTCACCCTAAAGTGAGAGTATTTGTCAGCAACCCACCACAGCTGATCCAGTGTTCCTGACCTACAAATTGACTGTCAACACAATATTTATGAATTTAAATACCAGTTGTCTTAGTTAAAATTTCATTGTTATCCAATATTGTTTCTAGAACATTACAATAAATATAGTACAAGAAATAGCTCCATGGAGTGCTTTCTTTTGAAATCAATTTGATGGTTTAATTAGTTGAGCTTACTGGATTATTTTTAAAAGGATAGCTTTTATTTTGTCCTTAGCTAATGAGCCCAACATTTCTGAACATAAAAAAACTGATTAAATTTTTAGGATTTTAAAAATGATTTCACACTGATAGGAATTTAAACAGCAAATGAATGACAAAGAGACCTTTTGCAACACAGGACTCTAAAAAGAACACATTTGGGTTTTCATTAAAAGAGGTTTTCATCTGGGGAGTGGGATTATTTATTTTCCATTTCTATTGGCTTCATATTCAAATATGGAGAAAGATTCTCCTGCTCCATCTTCCTCTGAAAAAACTTCCTTATGACAGACATGGCAAGCTCTTGTTCAATCTTCCCCTGATCCAATCTTAAAAAGTGTCAGTGTTATTACATGAGTTTTTATTACAAGAAACAAACCTTTATTTGCTTTTTCATACCAAATATTGCAAATGTAAAGAACAGCCTGTTCCCCTGGAGGTGATGACAGCCACAAGCGGGGCCCTGGGAGGTCCCTGGCCCTGGGCACCCTAGAGCCGCAGAATGGGTACCAGGCTAGCTGCCTCCCTGTCACTGATGTGACCTGAAACCTGGCTTTGTTTTGCTCATTTTCTAAGACTTTGCTAGGTGTATTTAGTAACACTGGACCAAGCCTTCCACTGATGAATGCAGGCTGTGGGACTAGGTGAGCCTTTTGTAAATATGTTGTTGTCTGCCCACATTCTTGATTTTATTCTGTGTTTCCACCTCAGATCTCTGAATCACCTGCTTGGCACTGAACTTGACCATGGATTCCAGCACCACAAGCTCAAAGAGGCTGCGCTGATGTAGATCCGATGATTCCTCATGCTGAGCCACACAGCAGGCGTGGTTCCTGTGGTGGTGCGTGGTTTTATCCGTGGTTAGCTAAAGTAAGGCACACACTGGGACTCGCAATGCAAGTGAGCATAACACTTCAAAAATCCAACCTGAAATTGTTACACTAAGATCAAAGAACAAATGAAAGATGGTAAAAGTGTTTTCAGACTTACTGGTGATGATTATTTGCTCTGGCCAATAAAATACAGAAGGTGAAGAGAGCAAACGCCCCACCTTGGAAGGACCAGCTGGCCAGCGCGAAGCCACACCACTCCACGGTTTCCCCAAAGTAGTTGGCTCCACTTACATATTCAAATAAGCCTCCTAGACAAAACAGACCAAAATAGTGCATTTATCACAACATAATACCACTCAAACGCTGACTTCAGAGACACTAGTGAATACTGACTCAGAGAATACAAGTTCAACTGTGGAAAAATACAATTTTTAAAGAACATGAAGCAACAAAACACACTCCACGTTACACTCCAGTGTTTCACACCGCAGCTTCCACGGTGCACTGCACACCTGCCTCAACGCCCGGCTACGGATCCACGGTTACACGGCCACACACCAACTGACCAGCTCAGCGTCAGGCTGACCATACCCGGGCAGCAAGGGGACACAACGACCCAGCGTATCAAGGAAGATGTCTCTAGAACCCTTGACCAACAGTGACGAAACGGTCACCTTCGGGGAGTTTTGCTCCTTCACTTATCCAATCTTCACAAACACATGGTCTCCATCACAGTGGTCCTGCTGTGGGTGCTCAGCAGTCCCTCCCCCTTCACGACCACAAACCCCAGTGTGACCAACAGGAGAACCTGCAGCACAGACAGGGCCAGGGGGCCCTGGGGTGCAGATGGGAGGGCAGTCACAGAGACTGGCAGGGAACAGGCTCACAGAAGGTGAAGGTCCACTCCAGGCTGCAGTGAGGGCTGGGCCAGAATTCACTGGGGACAGGAGCAATTGAGGTATGGAAAGGGGCCATAGCAAAGGCCCCGAGGCTGCAGAGCAATAGCTGTTCTCCACTCCAGGATATGAGGGAGGAGGCAGCAGGTCCAGTGGGGGCTGCTAGGGTGGGAGGAGGTGGGTGTGGCTGTGGCTGGTGACAATTTCAAGTGCACAAAACTGCTCAAAGATTTCACAGAGGCCTGCTCCCGACTCTTGCTCACCACTGTCTCCCAGGCTGTGAAGCAGCCATGGGTAGAATTTCCTTTAAAAAATGGAGCTTTATTCAGCTGTAAAGAAAACTGAAATTATGGCATTTGCAGGAAAATAGAGACCATCATGTTAAGCAAAATAAGTCAAACTCAGAAGGTCAAGGGTCGTATGCTTTCTCTCATATGTGGAAGCTAGAGAAGGAAAAGGAAAAGAAAGATGGGTGTAGATGTCATGAAAATCAAGGGAAAATCAGTAGAGGAAAGGGGCTAAGGGGTAGGAGGGAGGAAGAGAGGGAGAGGTGCTGGGGAGTGATATTGCCCAAATTATATGGTTCTATTGTGTGCATGTACAAATATGTAACAACAAAGCCTATGATAGGTACAACTATAAGCACCAATAAAAATGTGTAAAAAAAAAACTGAAAAATTTGATCACACTGAAAGTCAACAGAAACTCCAGTGCTGTGTGGAGCCGTCATCTCTGGGCTCGCAACGACTGAATGTAGAGGGCCTGGCCAGGGACAGTCCATTCCTTCGAAAGAGGAATGGGTCTTGCTGAGCTGAGACAGAAAAATGCTTTGACAATTCTTACTCGAGGAAGGCAGTGAGGGCGTAAGTTGGTAACACTGTGCTCTTTACTTTTTGGTAAGCTTGAATACGTAATTTTAAAATAATGCCAATGTCTATTCACTAGTCTCTTGTGATAATTAAAATGTAAACTTATCAAACACAATACATGAAAATGTAACACGCTTGTCTAAAACCAGGGTGGCATGAGTGTCTGCAGAGGCGTAGCTGTTTTCTAAAGCTGTTTTCCCTCTGAGCTCTGGAGATCAGGGCCATCACACTTTCTTATTTACCTATTTCTGTAACTGCCTCCATTTTCTACATAGTTTTGTCATAATTGTATGTCTCTAATCGGCAGCTAAATCCCAGAGGTGGTTGGGCCTTGGCACCCCCTCTGTAAAAGCTACCTCACCTAAGGCAGCCAGCCCAGGCCAGGGCTAGAGGGGAGAATGGGACCAGACATCTCTGTCCACATTTTCATCAGTGACCTTTCCCTATAGATAACAATATATACAATTAGCTAAAACAAAACAAAACAAAACCCATATATGGGGCTGGGGGGGGTGTAGCTCAGTGATAGAGCACTTGCCTAGCCTGTGTGAGGCACTGGATTCAATTCTCAGTACCACCTACAAATAAATAAATAATAAAATCAAGGTCCACTGACAACTAAAGAATATATATTTTTAAAAGCCCCATAGCTGGGCATAGTAGCACATGTAATCCCAGCAGTTTGGGAGTCTGAGGCAGGAGGATGGTGAGTTCAAAGCCAGCCTCAGCAATTTAGTGAGGCCCAAAGCAACTCAGCAAGAGTTGTCTCTATATAAAATATAAAAATGGCTGGAGATGTGGCTCAGTGGTTGAATGTCCCCTTGGGTTCAATCCCTGGTACCAAAAAACAAAAACCAAAAAACCAAAAAAACAAAAACCAAAAACCCATGGATGCCAATCTGCTAAAAGTGTGCCCTTCACACACAGACGGCTTAAAGACAGCACACCGCAGCTGTCATGCCTACCCCACAGCACTTGTCCTCCGCCCTAGTGTAGCCTGTATGTTCTGATGATGGGACACTTGGGCATCCTACCTGTGCCCTGCACTGGCTCTTAACCACTCACCTGTTCACCCTGTACCCTCCCTCCTTTAGCCTTGGCCAATGACACTACCATTAATAGGTCTGGAGAGTGTTTCTGAGAGCAGTTGTTGGTGGCACACCAGCCTGTCAGAGACTGCCACTGTGTCACATGGAGAAGCCTCCTGAATTTCCGTGAGCAAGGAGGTGATCAGTTACAAAGCCCTCATTCTAGGAGCTCCCAGAGCCCAGGGGTTCTGTCCCCTGCTCCCTGGCTTTCCCCTGGCACAAGACTTCCCTGCCACACTGTGGGCTCTTTCAGAGGTGTGCTTGTTTCCTTTATACAGTTTTCTTCGGTTAGTTTTAAACATATGTGTTCCTCCCAATGCTTCAGCTTGTCCATCCTCTAGTACGCACAGGACAGACAGGTCCCTCTTCCCACCCTCTGCAGCCATCGCGGAACACAGCTCACTTTTCATCCTGTTTCTTCACTTCTATCTTCTAAGTCCTTTCTGTGGTCTCTCGGTTTTGTTTTTGTTATTTTTTTTTGCTGTTCTGCTTTTCTTCGGGTGTCTCTTAATTTCAGGATTAGAAATAAAGAATCTTAAAGTGATATCTTCTGTAGGTTTTACGGGTTACCACTTGCTCTCCCCTACTGACTTGCAGCACCTCCTGCTGTCAGAAGCAGCCCAGTCTCTGCATCTCTGCCTCGTCTGTGCTCAGAGCTGCGGTGGATGCCCAGAAAGTGCTGGCCAGGGACCAGAGGCAGCCCAAGGAGGAGGGCTTATTCCTCAATGCGGGAGGGAGGCTGGGCTGCGGGACTGAGGCGCAGAGGTCATGAGCTTTGCCTGGGGACAGCAGGTTCTGCTGGTACTCTCTGATCAACGGGCATCACCCCTGCAATTGCTTCATTCACATTTTGTAATCATGTCGGAAACTGTATTTTCACTATAGAATGTTTGCAAAGGTGGCGTGATTTTAGCTTTCCTGTTCTCCAGGTCTGAATATGTCTGATTAGAACATGAATTGGCCACTGGAGCAGGAGACAGAGGGAGGGGCCAGAGAAGTTTTTGTGGCACCTCTGCAGCTGTACATGGGCAAGTTCGGGGCTTCTCTGCAACCAGGGCACCTCTGGACCTCTCTACAACCAGCCTGGCTGGTCAGGACCCTCCCCTGGGATTCTGCCTTCTCTGGGGATGACCTCTCTCTGACACCAGGTTTCTCAAGTCGGCCACCTTCATGGCTTCTGGCATTTCCAGCATCTTTTCATTCTGACTCAGGGGCTTGTGGCATGTCCAATCTCAGTCTGACGCAGAGCACCTCCTCCTGAGTATGTGCACCACTTCTGAATTTGGGATCAAGGGTTCAGCACGTAGGGTGCAAGGGGAGGAGGGAAGGCACTGGCCAGCGGGCTCTGCCGCCTCCAGGGAAGGGCTCCTCAGAGAGCCACATGCGGGTGCTCTCTGCTCCCAAGCCCAGCACTCAGACAGGAAGTCTTCTCTCTGACAGGCTGCACAGGTCGTCAGCAGCTAGTCAAGGACCCGTGAGATCCTCTCTTCTCTGCTTCCTCTGTAACAGGACTGCAGTTTCTGGAGGTTGGTCCTGCCGACTCCAGGCTGTCTGGGTCACAGTTTAAGGCATATTTACCTATGTTTTTCCCTTTTCCTTTTAGAAGCTCTCCTGGTTTCTTTGCATCTGCTCAGCCTTTTTTACAGTGGTTTACTCCTTACTCATTAGTGCTTCCCCCGCCTTCCTAAAACATCTCAAGCCCTCGATTTATAATCTGCACATATTAATTCTAAGGTGTGAGTCCTGTAGGCCTTCCAGGCTCTTCCTCACAGTGCTGAATCTCCTTGTGGTGCTGCAGCTTCTGAGTGCGTCTGCCCCTGGATCTGGGGAAGGTGGTGCGTTTGCTTTTGGAGCCTGAGTTGAAAGCAGGTCCCCTGGGGGTCATAGGCTTTTGATGGCCACATGTGTGAGTGCACCACTTCCCTAGGACAAAATGGACCTTAATTAAAGGCTTAAGGCTCTCAGACCACTGTAGGGCTGGGGACCTGGGCTAGCAGGAAGGCTGCCTGTTGGCCACGCGTTCTCAGGGTTCCTACACGTTGTTTTTTTCATTTTTGGTACTGAAGACCCAACCCAGGGGCACTTTATCTCTGAGCTACATTCCCCAGCCCTTTCTGTTTTTTACTTTTATATAGAATGTCACTAAGTGCTTAGGGCCTGGCTAAGTTGCTGAGGCTGGCTTTGAACTTGTGATCCTCCCATCTCAGCCTCCTGACTCATTGGAATTATAGGTGTGCCTCACCGTGACTGGCTGCTCTCACACATTCTGTGGGCTGCTATGTAGATTCTGGCATCCACTTAGGCTTTGTCCTCTCTTGATTACTTTCTTTTTTTCTAATATTACATTGATGCATTTTAAAAGATTTTTTTAAAAAAAGGTCACACAAAATTCTAAGTCTTTTTCAGGGAGCGTGTCTGACAAGGAATCTATTTCTTCATATTGCTGGACACAGAAGCATCAGATGCTCCTGTGAGCTCTAAGTTCTTCCTCACCCTGTCTCCAAACACAGATGTTTCTTTGTACTTAGTAACCATACCCTTGGCCAGAGACACCTCTTCCACTATTCTAATGAAACAGTCAGAACAGTGACATGCACTGGGACACTTGCAGCTAACACACGCTGTGCCCGATTTACCAGAGCAGAGAAACCAAACGGCCGAGCATCATGTAGTGTGACTTCCAAACACCATCTCCCCTCAGCACTCACCCCTGGGAATCCGGTATCCAGTCTCCCCGGGTTTTCTGAGGTTCCTCAGGATGTGATCTGAGTGGATGTTGATCAGCATGCCCAATAACCACAAGGCAAAACCTACAGAGAAAACCCACAAGATCCTTACCACGAATGAACTGCAAGACTTAAGAACCCCAGGCCGACTTGGCAGAGCTCAGCAGCCCTTCCGAGGGCCACTGTCAGCATGAGACACTGAGGTGCTGCCAGTGAGCTCCGCAGTGCTGCCGCCCGCTGTGCTGTGAGGGATCTGCTCTCCAACACTGATAACAAGGGTCTAGAAGAATCCTGTTGTCTCAATTCCACGATTACTTTATTTCTCTGTTGCTTAAACTGAAAGATGACTACTGCTTATGTGCATCCAACATTTAATTCCATTTGTAGGGATCACAAAATCTTTGTATGAAATCTGAGAAAGTTGTAGAGTCAGGATGGAGTCACTTTTGTCAAGTCCTAACAAAAGTAAGTAGTCAGTAGTCAGGAGGTCCTGGAGGAGGGAGTCTCACGCATGTGTGCCTGATAACAAGAACTACAAGACTCAACCGCAGCCTCACACCGTGGCCACCCACCTTACACAGAAAGTACTTCAGCAAGGTCGCCGGCCCCAAACATCTGCTTAAGCGTGGACTGATGCCACCCTTGTTATTGATCCCTGTCCTCAAAGACACTGTTTCAAAATATCTTCTCAATCCTCCTCATTTTGCCCTGAAGTCTTCCCCCTGCCTTAACCTCCCTGAATGTACACGTGGTCTACAATGGCACACACATCCCAGTGCAGTGCTATCCCATCTGTAAGTATATGACACTGTTCTTCTGAGAATCTATGATTGCACTTAGGTGACAAATTCTTCAGGTTAACCACTTCTACTGTTCTAGAAAACTTGTTAGAATTTGATTATTATTTATTAGCCCTTAATTGTAACTATCAAGTATAACTAATTATCCATGTAATTTCATGAGGCTCCTTACAAAAAATAATTCTGTGAAAATATACATATACAAAAGAAGATAACCTAGTTTGTCCCCCACTGACACATTTTTTTTTCATTTTCAAATTCTTCTGTTTAGTGGTAGAGAAATCGAAGGGTTTGTCTACGACTGATCAGTGTCTCAGTTTGTAGACCAGCCTCAAAGGTGCCTTCAGGTGACCTGATCTGTGTGCAGAGCTACTTTAAATGATCCTTAAATTCACGGGTCAGGAGGATTGTTTTGCTTTTGTTGTTGGTCAAAAGTACCCAAACAATTCATCATAAAAACGATTCCTACAAGAATCTTAACTAAGTATTTAAAAACCTGTTTTTCTGTTAAGAAAAGAAATTCCCCTTCCTTTCATTCTTCCCTGCCCATTCTCAGGCCACTGCAGGGTGGGTGGTTAAAGTCACTGCTCGGCCATTTACTAGACAGAGGCCTGGACCAGCTGCTAACCTCTGGCCGTGTCTGCCTTGGAGGAAGGTGGGGAGGCACCGAGTGTATTCCCCACAGATCCCAAAAGCCTGTTCTTTTCTTCTGACTATTGGTGCAGGAGAAAATAAGGTAATCGCGAAGCAGGTAGATCAGAAGTTCATAGTGCCATAGGACCCATGTGGTGAAGTCCAGCCTACCATGGAGGCCCCTATCCCTGGGGGTAGAGGATGCTGTAGCTTCTCATCCAAACTTCACCTTCCGGAGGAGGACATGGCCTTCTCCTTGTGCAATTCTCAGGACAATGAGGGCACTGCCCTTGGAATAAATTTTAATTCTTTGAAAAACTAAGACTGAGAAATGTGAAGGTGCTTTGTCGGCAACAAGGAATTATGTGAGCATTAGTTTTTATATTATTATAAATTCATACACAGAGAGAAATCAAAATGTAATCAGGTGAAGTTTGAAAATCTGATGGGCTGAGTGAAGGCTTGTGGCAGCCGCCATGGGGTGATGGCACCTGGCCTGTTACCACTTCTAAATGCTCCAGGACATGCTAAATAAGCGCTGGAAAAGCTCCCTTCCATACAAGACCCTGAGACTAAGCATTGCCCCTGCTCTTGCAAAGATTTTTGATTGCTAATGCTTTCTTTTTCACTTTTGCTCAGAATTTATAAAGCTAAAATCAGAAATTGAAAAATTCTAAAATGCATATTAATTCATATTAGTTGGTATACATTTTAAAAATTCAAAACTTCCCAACCCAAAAGTTGGCTTAAGCTAGAATACTCATAAAAGTCTACCTGCACTGTTGGAAGGTAACCCAGTCTGATTGCATCTCACGTGACAGGAGAAACAGTCGAGGGCTGGGTTAGGTTACACAGTCAGCCAGCCCCCAGGTCTCCCAGTCTGTCTGTTACTCACCACCAGCTTCCTGCTCCCTATGGGTCCTCATTCTGTGGAACACCTGTGCTTCAGTGCCTGTGGGGGCAGGTGTCCTGCGTACCGTCCCTTCCTACCCTCGAGTGGCTCTGGGGTAGCCTGACTTGCCCTCTGGCTGCTTTGGACTCCCTGCTACCCTCTCCCTTGGGGGTTCACTGGTGAAAAGGGAGGTAGAGCTGATCTCCTGGATGCTCACCTGTTAGAAAACGGGGCTGGGTGACCCAGTCGTCCGCATACACTGCATATTGGCTCAAGTATCTGCTTTGCAAGTAGCCATTATAGGTACAGAAAACAAACGCCATCGCCCATGAATACAGCAGTGTGGGCTTTCCTCCTCGAATCAGATATGGGAAAATCAAGGTGCTAAGGAAACAAAAACAAATTTAAAAAGAAATAAAAAACACCTTCTGCAATTCTGTTTAAATGGCTTGGCATTTTCATCTTGTCTTGGTTTTTCTTGGTTAACATCATCCTTAGTCACACTCGCATAGATGCACTCTGTGCCAAAGGCATGGAGTACATCATGGTAACTGAGAAGTCCACTGAGAGAACTGACCTGCTTTGGCAGTGTTCACCACAGTGCACGAGCTCAGGACTCTAGTCGTGCGTGCAGCATGTGGAACAGACACACTGAATTAGAGACAGGGAGGCCTCAGGAGGTTCTTAAGTTTTCCACTATCCTAAAACCATGGGCAGTTCTACTGGGCAACAGGATCTGGGCCACACTGCCATGTCATCCATCCCTGCTACCAGGGCTCCCTCCACCAAGCATGGAGCGCTGCAAGGCTTCCCAGCTACCTGGCAGGAGGACCTGTCACCATGTTTGAGCAGATAAAAGGAAAACTCAGTGTGAAGTAATCTGTTCCAGGTCACCAGGCTAGTGAGAGGTTGAGTTCAAGTGCTAATCTGGCTGATTACACTGTTACAGCCCGCTGGCCTATAGGCACCCTACTAGGGGGTTAAGGAGGGGCACAAAAGGATCAGGAATTAGAAACCCACCAAGAAAAGAGGACGCAAAATGTATTTTGTGTTTGCATTTTCTCTTAAATGTCAATGTGTCATATATCCAAAGAGAGCACGTCACTATAAATCTTACAGTCCTGAAAAGCAGATAGCAACTTCTGCCAGTAACTCTGACAACCTGATGCAACTGTCAAAATCCCTGAAAGACAAAAGATGAACAAAATTGGCTCAGAAGGAATACACTTGGATTGTCCCTCCAGGACATGGGAATTGTAAACTGCAAACTTTTGGTCAATATCTTCCAGTATGGCTCCAAATTCAGGCTGAAATCTGAACAAGTGGCAAATGCTGGCTGCACCTTGTGAAGGTGAGACCCAAGCCTCTCTCTATCTTCACACTCCTCTTCCTTACAGTCCTTCTCATTAGCACTGTAAATTACATGTACACATGTATACACATGTACACACAACACATAGAAACTGCAAGTGCACATTTCTATTGCAGTTACGGGCAATGAACCCAGGGCCTTGTGCATGTTGGGTACTAACATGCATTTTAAATCTCATCACTAAAAATGCCTTCACACTCAGCCACCCTTGCCCAGGGAACTGTGGGAAATGGCTATTACTGTTCTTTGAGAAAAGAAGGATTGACCAAGAAGATGGAAATCCCATAAGATGGAAACTATCTTTAAGGGAAACTATGAAGTACTTGGACTAACACGTACTTTATCCAGGCAATATGTCACAAGTCTATTTTCTGTTCTGATAACTAGCCAAAGATATAAAAAAAAAAAAAAATCAGTTCCCAGGGAGCTACAAAGAAATTGTATTTTCCAAGTAATCAGATTACGTATAAGATAACCTGTGACACTTTTCTCTGTTAACATTTCTATTTTCTCTCCTTTCCACATAAAGAATCAAGACTCAAATTTCACCCCATGGAATCTGCTAACCTCTGCATCCACAGGTTTGTAGACGGGTGTAAAGCGCGGAGCCAAGCGCTTTAAGAAAGAAGCTAGAGTTCTTTGATGCTTCAGTGGCCAGAACACCCTGCTATCTGTCTCTTGCAGGCTGAGTTTGACAGCATAGGCACAACGTAAAAGTGCTTCTAAGTTCCTGATACATCTTCCTAATGGTTTCTGATCTTACACTAAGTGCTGTTTTTCACACTTCAAAACTGTTACCATCATCACTGTTTCACAGATCAGGATACAAGGCTCAGAGGCACCACTCCAGCTGACTGGGTTATGAGAGTCTTAACCTCATCAGTGCACTAAGCTCCCCTAGGATTAACTGGGTGGAACAGAAGGCAAGCAGGTGCCTGGAGGAGGTGGGTCCCTGGGGATGTGCCTTTGGGGTTATATTTTGTTCCTGTTGAGCAGAGCTCTCTCTCTTTCTACCTCCTGGTGCACTGTCTGAGCTGCTTTCTTCTACCCCATAATGTTCTGCCTCACCCGGGGCCCTGAGGAGCAGAGTGGGCCATCTATGGATTAAGATCTCTGAAACTTGAGCTGCCACATAAACTTCTCCTCCTCTAGTTGTTCTTGTCAGGTATTTTGGTCATAGGAGCAAAAAGCAGACTAAAACAGAAACTGGTACTGAGAAGTGGGATCATTACTGTAACTAACCTGACCATGTGGCTTAGAAGTTTTGGGAGCTTATTTGATTTTGTGGGAGGAATTTTGAGACATTTAGAGATGGAAGCTGAAAAAGCTTTAGATTGTTGTAAGAAGAGATTAATGGGCAATTCTGGGGGGTGATCAGAAGACCAGAATGCCAACAGGACTGTGGACAGTGATCATGGTGCTCCTAAGGTTTCAGGAGAAGGAGGACTTTAGAAATTGGACTAGAAACCATCCATGTTACATTCTGGCTAAGAAATCGTCTACATTTTGCCTGTATCCAAGACTTTCTATGAGGCTGAATTTAGGCAATGGACTTTTTTTTTTTAATATTTTATTTTTTAGTTATAGTTGGACACAACACCTTTATTTATTTATTTTTATGTGGTGCTGAGGATTGAACCCAGCACCTAGCACGTGCTAGGAAAGCGCTCTACCGCTGAGCCACAACCCCAGCAGAAGAAATTTCTAGGCAGCATAGTATTCAGGGAGTGATGGCTTTTAGCCAAGTTCACTGTGATAATCAGGAGAGGAAAGCAAAGCAGATAGATCTGAAAAACTTGGAGTTCTGCCAGAAAACGGAGCAAAACTGGGGCTAAGGAATCCTGGTTGTTAATGACATCAACGCCACTAAAGAAACTCTACAGACTGCCCAGAGACAATAAGAAGGATGGTCTGAGGGCATCTCAAAAACTGGCAAGAACACACCCATTTCAGGCGCAAGGGTGTAAACGACAAAGCCTTTTGAGACTAGACTGACAGGACACCCTGCTTGCCAAGGGTAGCCAAGGAACTTGATTCACCAGTCACCCAGGCACTCAGAGACTGCTGCAGCCACAGTCCCTGGAAGCTGGCTACTGCTCCAGGGGGTGGTGGACCCTGGCATCAACCTGGTATCCTGGTGGTGGATGATGGGGTGCTGGCTCTGCATGGAATGCAGGATGCTGGAGTTAGGGTGTCGTGGAGGCTGCCGTGGAGATTTCAAAGGAAGGCCTGGGAGGCTAGGCAAAGTGCCGCAGCCGTGGAGGCCCTGCGGGCTGCCCCCAGAGGGCAACGCATGGAGATGTGAGGAGGAAGCCAAGGAGGCACTGGAGACACCAAGATTAAGACATGGCAGTGTTGGGGAATGTCTGCCAAGGCCATCTGCAGGAATTGAGCAGAAATAAGGCCACGTGGGCTGCCACCAGCAAAGCCACAGGGGCAGAGCTACATGAGCCCTTTGGAAAGGACATCAGGATGCCACGTGCCCTAGATGCTGGACACAAAGCTACAGGACTTGCTCACCCAGTTCCATGTCAGTCTTGCTCTCCTCCCATCCCTGCTTTCTGTGTTCCTATTTCTCCCATGTGGAATGGAAATGTTTACTCTGTGCCTTTACATACTGGACATATTTGATTTTTATAGGGGCTCATGCTGAGAGTATGCCTTGAGTCCCAGAGGAGACGTTGGACTTCGACTTTTAGGCACTGCTAAAACTGTGAGATCACTGGGACTCTTGGAAATGGACTAAATGTATTTTGCCATTGAAAATGGAAATAAGCTTTGTGAGGCCAGGGGTGGAATGTTATTATTTAAATACTGGTGTCCCCCATAAGCTCATGTATGAAAAAAGGCAAGAAAGTTCAGAGGTGAAATAACTGGGTTACGAGAATATTAACCTAATCAGAGCATTAATCCTCTGACAGGGACTAACTGGGTTGTAACTGTAGGCAGGTGGTGTGTGGCTGGGGGCGGTGGGTCCCTGGGGGGGCCTGCCTTTGTGCTCTGTATTTTGTCCTGGTTGAGCAGAGCTCGTTCCTTGCTTCCTGATCTTATGTCCTGACCTGCTCTCTGTTGCCACTCCTCTGCCACAGTGTTCTGCCTCACCTTGAGGCCTAAGGAATGGAGCTACCTGTCAATGAACTGAGACCTCTGAAACCATGAGCTATAAAATGGACTTTTCCTCCTAAAATTGTTCATCAGATCTTTTGGTCGCAGCAGCGAGACAGCTGACTAAAACACCAGTAACGTGCCAATGGAGACTGCACGCTGGGCAGCGGCACGGCTGGGAGGCACACCACCTTCTAGGTGTCCCTTCTACCATGTCACAAGTACCAAGATGGAGCAGAGCGGGCAGTGCTCTGTCACATTAAGTGGTCACCAGAAGTCATTTTTATTAAATATTCCTATTAAGTTAGAAACACACTTATACCAAATGTCAAAAGTAGGTTACATGATTTGAATGTTTCTGTGGGTACCATTTCTGCTTAAAAAAGGTGATAAAAACTCATGAAGAACAATAAAAGAGATGGGGAAAAGATATACCTTGTTTTTTCTAAGTCATGGAATTATGAGGGATTTTTTCTTCTTCCTTGGATTCTTCTGAATTTTAAAAATTTTGTACGGTGAGTGTGGCTGTCAACTGGAGCTCATTCACACGCAATACTGGCACCTATCTGAGATAACTAATGGGTTCAGAAGAGACTCCATCAGTGAGACAGGGAAGTTACATCTCCTGAGATGAAGAGCTGCCACTGTTGATTGACAAAGCTGAGATAATCAGGCAAAAGCAATAAACAAAGGCTCAGTTCATCTGAGAAGTTTCCAAATCTCAGGAAAGTAAAAGTACCCTATGAATGCTGAGGAAGAAAAGTGGATTAGGAAATCATCAGAGTACCCTACGTGTTCGCTATGCGCTCCTTGAGGACCACAGGTGTCCCCACAGGATGGGGAGCTCTGAGCTTCTCCTACACGGCAGAGTGGCTGCCTCCTCCAGACCCGACGACTGGTCAGCAAT